CACACATGCACATAAACATTACACATAAATGCACATAATTCTTTTTGAAATTCATGGGTAGGTGGTACTTCCGAGGATGCGTCAGGTTTAAAAAATTGGAACTAGACCTCATAGTTCCTTTGACTTTCCCACTAACGATAGGTTAGGAGATAGTACTTATAATTTATTTTCAAAATAAACAATGTCAAAATCAATTCAAAGTTTAAATAATGACTTTTTAAGAAAATTATGTTACAAGGTTTTGATATGAAATATTTTTAAAGCCAAGTTAAATGCATAAAATGATTCTAAATTAGTATTATTAAAAAAAAACATATTGCATCATGAATGAGGAAGACAAATAGAATTAATATTGACCATTTTATGGGGAAGGACACAAATAAATTTTATTTTTACGGATATGTTAAAAGTTATTTCAAGCCTATAGACATGAATTTCTAGGTGTTTAAAAGGAGTAACACATATATGCATGATTTTGTAAATGATATGAACAATTTAATACTTAGGCATAGTTTCTACGTGATAAGACAAATGAGAATTTAAAATATATTTTTAACATCTAACAACCTACTAGATTTATTAGGATATGATTTTAACATTTAAAAAATTAATGGACTCTAGTTCTTGTTTTTAAGACTTGTTAACAAAAACGTCAAGCTAATTGAAAATTGATTAGATTATAACACCTACAAATATCAAATCTAGGTGGTTAAAGACAAACCTAGGCATGATTTCTAAAAAAAATTATAATGAACAAGTAAGCATATAAATCCCCCTCCCCTAGACGATCCCCCAAATAATTTTATATATATATATATATGATCTTTTAGAGTTACAATTGTTACAACATTCGAATAAATAAAATAGGTAAAAAATAAAAAATATATATATATATATATACATTCAAATAAACAAATAAATCTTTCTTCAATTAATCTTCAACTTGAACTTCAAGTTTGAAACCTGTCAAAATAATCAAATAACGGTTAAGCAAAAACAAATTGATTCACCTTTTACTCGAAAGTAGCAAAATAGCAAAAAAACACTTGAATATTTATCGGAATATTAATGTGTTGTTAAAGTAGCAAGAGAGCAGTGAGAGAAGAGAGAGTGATGAGAGAAATTTTTTTTGATTGAGAGTGAATGGGTGTCTCTGAGTTGATGAAGGGAGGAGTCTTATTTATATAGCAAAGAGGGGGAAACAAATAAGGAAGAAAGATATTTAAAGGAGTTAGTTAAATATATTATTTTCCTTATTAAAAAGGAGATTCAAATCAGCCAAAATAAAAATATATCACTTCCAAATATAAGCAAGAATAAATTAGGAAGAGAAATATTATTATTATTTATCTTAAATAAGGAGAGACAAATCAGATTTTTTTAATTTAATATTTCATTACTAAAAAAATAGATGAGTAAGAGTAAAGTAAGGAAGACAATATTCTTTTACTTTAATAAATAAGAGCCAAAACATTTTAATTGAGAAAATCATTTAAATTTTAAAACATTTGAAATTCATTAATAATTTTAAAATATTATAATATTTACGATAATTTTATAAAATAAAACATTCTAAAATATATAATTTTCAAGCAAAGTCGACTAAAAATTCTAAAATTTAAAATACGTATTTAATAGAATAGGATTTCTAATAAAGTTCAAAGGTCGGTCAAAATTGGGTGTCAACAAGCTGTTTTAAGTTGACCTCATTTTTATGTTTTTTCCCTTAATATTTTTATACAATCTTCAAATTACCCATATAACCCTAACATCTCTTTCTTCTATTTTTCCCTTTTTACGTTTGACATAACAACTTCAGCACTTTTATCCAAACGCATAACTGCTTATTTTAAAAATAAGTTTCAGCACTTTCAAAAGTACTTTTTTAAAGCTGCTTTTATTAAGCTCATCCAAACGGGCCCTATATTTATCATTGATATACCATATATGTACTCATTGCTTAATCTGACACAAATTGGTTTTAGAATTCTCTCATCTTTTGAATTCCATTACTCTTTTTAATAAAATAAAAATAAAAATACCCCCCCCCCCTCCTTTTGAGAAACAAAAGAAAGAAAAAATATTTGACTTGGTTCAAATAAATCCATTTTATTACACGTTTAAAATTCTACCACTATTATAAAATAGATATCTTAATAAAAACATCTAGCTAGAATTGACTTACTGTATCTCTAAATCTTCTAACAGTATATTATATCATCACTAAATATAATATAATGACAAATATATAATTAGGGAAAAATACTTTTTTTGTTTTCCCTTTTTATGATATGGAAATGGGTCCTATTAAATATCTAACAAATAATAATACACTATTTCTAATTTGATTACAATTACTGTCTTCTTCTTTTTCTGTCCTGAAAATTGACTATATATATAATACAAAATAACGCACACTATTTATATTTATGGTAAAACTATACATATGGCGTAGAAACACGTTTTTTCTACAAATTAATAATTTCAGTGGAGAATGATTATGAAAAGAATCTGATGCGTTTTGTTTATTCTTTATTTTGTCTAGAAAACTATATTTCCTTACTATAGTATATCAAGTTAATCCCCACCTTAATAATTTACTCAATTCGATTTCGACCTAACAAAATTTTATATCAAGTTATTTTTGATTCACGCAAATAATTAACTCAATCAACACGTGAACGACGTCCACAATCATATGAGTATTATATAAAAAAAATAAACCAATCAAATTATTTTATTTAGTATATATATACCCAAAAAAAAAGAAAGGTAAGAGTTAGCTAGTTTTGTGCTCACCCCTATCCAAAGTTGTTTTTGGGATCATTAATTCGAGTAACTTAAAAATTATGTCATGGTTTGGGCCACTTGTTAAGTATACCGAACATAATGCACTTTCAAGTGTAGATACATTAGAGGTGGATGTTGTTTATGATATCGAGTTTATCTAAATTTACTATTTTAGTATGGTACGTAAATATGTGTAAATTCAAAATTATAAATATAAATTTATAATTTCAAGAATGAGCGTTGTTTACAATTTAGACTTAACTATATAGTATTTTGACGCTTTATATATATACCAAGAATTGGTATAAAAAGATATTTGAATAGATCAAATTTTTTTGTTTCAAGAAAAATTGTTCCTTCTTATATATCATTTAATTTTTGATAACAATGTTGTCCAAATCAACTTTATAGTGTATAATTACTTTTTTAGTCGTTATTATTGATGCAAATTAAGTCATGGTTTGGCCCACTGGCTTAGTTGACATAGCCTCCTATCTATAAATTTTATTTAGTTAGGACTTAGGAGGAAGAAAATGTAGTTGATTGACATAAATAAAAAGTGAACCGAACATAATGCACTTTCAAGTCTAGATACATTCCTTCATGTTTTTCAATTGAAAGTCTAAATTAATTTTTGAGAAAAAGGTCATTATAAATTGTTTGTGATAATTTTTTGAATGCTGAAAATTAATGTAATTCGTTAGAAGTCTTCGTTATGCTCTCTCCCATTTGGAAATTAAATCAATTAATAGGAGTAAAATGATAATTCATTTGGAAATTAAATCAATTAATAGGAGTAAAATGATAATTTATTATGTTAATTGTTTAATATATAATATTGACTGTATAATAGAGAATGAATATTACTTCGTATGGAGAGAGAATGATTTGTTTAAGAAAGGAAAAGAATCACTCACTCTAAGGTAAACTGAGTATTTATTATATATCATTAATAAATTTAGTATAATTATTATCTTTTTGTATTAAAATTAAAGCAAAATAAAACAAGAAATATAGCTGATGAAAACGATAGAAACATGTAGACAAGAGATGAGAGTTTTTCTTATTATTCCAAGTCTTCAACTAACATAAAAACGCATAAAATATTAGTCATAAAAATGAAATTAACTTGAATATAATGATGAAGATTATGAAAGTTATAAAAATAATTATTATAAAGTTGGAGGTTTATAACACACTTCTGATTCTTAAGAACCCCTAAATGCACTAAATAAATAAAATAATCATTTTGACTTACTACAAATTGAAAAAGCACTACTATATTATTTATATAGTTAAATCTTACGAACTATCTTATACTTTATTTATTAAATTTATATGTGCAGCAGTAAATCTAAGCAACCAGCCATTTTAAATCTCATTACGTGAGTTAGCAGCCATGAAATTCGCCACTTTATGAGAATTAAATTGATGATTGACATAAAAAAAATATTTATGAAAAATATTCTTTTGTCAAAGTGAAGCGATATTCAGTGGCAAATCAAACTTTATTACCTAAAATGTTATAGAGCCACCATATTAGAAGTTTGGGTTAGAATGATAATTTCTCATATAATTTTACGATAATATTTTCTAGTAACTTTTAATTTATTTTCTGAATATGTAAAAGATTCAAATACATATTAGAAATAGTTTAAACATATTTCATTTCACCTACGTTGAATTATTATATTAATTGACATCAAAATTAATATAAAACGAGAGATAAAAAATGATTTAATTGTGCTAGTATTCATTTAATTTGTGTAGGTTGGGTCATTAAGGGTTCAATTCCTTCTGAGTTGTGTTAGCATTCCATGTGGAATATTTATTCAAATATACATCATATGATTTTACCTTTTATGGAGGGATAATATTAAGATTGAAAATAACTTTAGAGCAAATTTGATCTAATAGAAGAGATTTTTCTTTTCTTCTTAAATCTTTTTTAATTAGTTAGGGACATTTATTAAAGACAAACTTAATCCAATAAATACAAGGAAGAGATTTTTAAGTTATTTATAATAATACATTAAAGACAACTTTTATTTTTTCATAGTAATTAATAATGAAGCCTAAACATAATCAAGGGTTAATTGTGTCAATAGCATACTAATTAATAGTAAACTGATAATCAAAGGACGAAATTGCAAATAAAATAATTTTGAGTTTATATAAACACCCTGTTTTCCTAATTCTTCCTTCATCAATTCATAAGCAAAACAAAATTGAGAAAAATCTCCATCTCTCTCTAGACCTTTCTCTAGAGAGAGAATCTATATCTATCTATATATATATATATATATATATCAGTGAGTGAGAGGATTTAAGAAGATTTCTTCTTCTTTATTTCTGAAAAATCTGTAATTAATTAATAATGGAAGGAAAAAAATTTGCAGTTCTATTATGTGCAGAGGATTCAGAATACGTGAAGAAGAAATACGGGGGTTATTTCGGGGTTTTCGTGAGAATGCTGGCGGAGGAAGGGGAAACGTGGGACTTTTTCCGGGTGGCTCATGGCGAGTTTCCGACGGATGATGAGATCGGAGAATTCGATGGATTTGTAATCACCGGAAGTTGCAATGACGCGCATGGTAATGATTTGTGGATCTGCAAGTTACTCAATCTGCTCAAAAAAATTGATTCAATGAAGAAGAAAGTTTTGGGTATTTGCTTTGGACACCAGGTATTTCTTTTAATTTACTATTTTACTCATCAGCAATTCTATTTTTAATCGTAAGTTCTTTTTATTTATTTTACTAGATTCATTACATGATATGTCTAAAAAAGACACAAAATTTATAAATATCTTATAAACTTTACCTTTGTTACACAAGTAAAAATTATACAAATAAATTGAAATGAAAATGGAAGGAGTATCTTATTTTAAGGCTTCTTTTGAGTGTTGAAATTTGTTGTAAATTCGTTTAATTACAGCTGTCTTTTTTAATTTGCGTCTCTGTTTTTCCGTTCGCTGTCTTTTCCAATTGTCACGAACGCACTTTAAATGCTTTGTTCTTGTACGTTTCATACGTGGCGTATTACTAGCTTTATTCATAAAGTATAACAAAAATAAACTAATTTCACAATATAAGCTAAGAAGGATGGATAAAATAATTTAAAAATTAATTAATAGTTATAATTATATACTAAAATAAAATAAATTCACATTTTACTTCAAAATTATTATTCTTATTCTACTGACCAAGCTACCTAGAAATGCTAGAATCTTACGTACATTAATGGAAATTTCAATTTAGGTAATTGTTATTTTGTAAAACTCTTTTCTGTGCTATGCGACTGTTTACTAGTTGGGACATTACTATTTTATATGAAAATCTGCTAACATATTTGGACAAATATTATTCTAATAGTTGCAATTTCCGTGTTACGAAGTTATGTCTTAATTCATCTCTCCCATATGTTGGAAAAAATAAAATTTTCCTTTGTTTTTTTTTCTGGCATAATACATAAATATCATTCATAACTTGTTTTATCTATAAAATCGAATAAATAGATAAATTTATCCTGTGTTTTACATGTATATTATACCGTGTAGGATATATATGTGTACTTATTCTATTTTGCACAAGTTTAAGTATTTAAATGTCAACTAAAGTCAAGTTAAAAAAAATGTATATTTGTGTATTACTTCCAATCCATTTTACTTGTTATTATCCTTAAAAAATAAAATTAAAATTTGGGAGGATTACATGAGAGGACCCTAGTGGTCCAAAAGCAAAAAGAGGTGTGAGTGAGATTTGGGACCATATGCCAAAAACTGAGTGAGAAGTTGGAACTATTCTGGGTTAGAGTTAGTGAATTTTGGATTTTGGTCCCCTCACACTTTCAAATTAATAATTATAGACAGCCCATATATTTTGGGATTCTATTTGGATGGATTCTTGTCACGTGTTCCTCTTTAATTTTTCACCAGTAGTAGTAGTAGCCTTTTGTCATATACTTACTTCACCTAACTATGTACTATATGATAAATGCCGTCCAATTCAAAAAAATAAAATAAAAATCACTCGTTAAAACTAAAACTAATTAAGCATCTTCTAGGGCAGAGAGTTTCAATGAACTCCACTCCCTCTCTTCAATTATTCGTAATGTTCTCTCTCTGTTTAATTAGTCGTTCTACTTTTCTTTTAGTTCATTTTACGACGAATGTTTTATTTATTTATTTTTTGACAATTTTTAAATTATGGTTGTTTTATACTTGGTTATCATTTCAAGTATAAGTTTTTGTACTTGGATTGGATATCATTCCATACTAAGTCTTATATAAGATCTAAAAAAAGAAATAATATAACCGGTTAAACTGCATTAATAATGACAAAATTCAATAATTTGTAACATTCAAGCTAAGATCCAATGTTTGTTTATGTTATCTAACCTATGATTTGGCAATGAGAAGGATTAGATGAAGAGAGGATTAATAAATAATAATTAAGTAGAAAGATAAGGTTGTGTTGTCGCTGACCTATTACAACCTCCAAATCCAACGATAGAAAATAGTTATTGGAATTTTGCGACTTATTATATGATGCAAATTGTTTTTTTTTTTTTTGTTTTTTTGCTAAATTTTCTTTTATCCTAGATATTAGGACGATCATTGGGTGGCACTATAGAGAGAGCTACTAATGGTTGGGACATTGGTGTGACTACTGTTAATTTATCAACGTCAAAGCAATTCAACTCTCTCAAATTACCTGCATTTTTGCAAATTATCGAGTGTCATCGCGATGAGGTTTGTATCAAATTCCTCTCTAGTTGAATACTAGTTTAGTACAAAAATTTTCTAAAAATGTGTAGGTTGTTTTGGAATTAGATCCGTGAACTTCCACCAAAGGCAGAGGTAATGGCATGGTCCAACAAAACTGGAATTGAAATGTTTAGATATGGTGATCATATAATGGGCATTCAAGGTCACCCTGAATACACCAAAGACATTCTTCTCCATCTCATCGATCGTCTTCTTCAACACAACCTTATTGAGGTAAATCTAAGGGCAGAAGTTACAGTTCTGTTTGCAAAATGATTTTCATCTACAACACAATAAGTTGTCTTTTAGACTATTCAAAATCCATGTCATTATATCATATACTTTGTCTAGCTGACCTACTAGTAGGTGTGCCAAATGACATCTTCAACAGTGAGTGTGCCACATGTTTAGAATGTGTGCTATGATTGATTGATATTATTAAAAATTTCATGTGAAATATGTCAGTTATAAAGCTTGACTTTTTTGTTGTAGGAGAGCATGGCTGATGTGGCCAAGGCAAAGGTTGAAGAGTGTGAACCAGACAGGGAGCAATGGAAGAAATTATGCATTAGCTTTCTCAAGGGTAAATTGTGATTGCAATTGGTCAAAAAGTGTAAATAGGAGATGATATGGTGTTAGATGAACTTTTAGACTGTTTTGGGACTTTTGAACTTATTAGACATCCATTACATGTCCTTATCAACAATCTTATATTAAACTTTTTAACTATTGAAATTGATAACTAAGTTCAATTGCAATTGAATTATTTTCATTCATTAACTAGCGTCTCTTAATTTGTGTATTTTATCTAAAAATATGTAACACGTTTAATAAATAATAAAACCAACCATAATTTCGAATTTACCATATAACATATATTAAACACCATATATAAATTCTTCTTAAATAAATTATTTATTAATTACTTTACCTATACTCCTTTTCCTAGTATCTTAGTTTAAAGGCCTATTCATCTCTTCTATATATCCTAATACTTCATTTTATTTGTGATTCAAAATTTACTTAATTATGTGATATTTGTTTTTATCTTCTTTTCAATATTGTAATAACTTAATTGAGAGAGTAGAAGAAGAATAGTAGCAAAAGAAGAAGAAAATACCATTTGAAACAAAATAAATAAATGAAAGAATGTCAGCTTACCAATTGAAAATTTAAATGAATCTATCAGCCAAATTCCCCATTTAAATCTTTTGGAAGTCAACGAAGATGAACATGTAGATTAATTTTATAGAAATAATATCTAGTGTAGCAATATAATACTGCTGCCGCACAACACCTAAGGCCTTGAGACGCTCAAAAACTTGTTTCATTAACATCAGACTTGACATTGTATGCAGCTGCAATGTATATTATAAACATGGTTAAGGCAATCAAAAAAAGGGATACATAAAAGGAACAATGAACTTGACAAAAATCAACAAATGCAAACAATGTCCCACATCATAAACTACAACAAAAATTCATATTTTAATCACTGCAGGTTGTCTCACACCAAACTAAGCTTAAATACTCTCCTATTAATTTGTGAAACTCAAGGTTAAATTGGAGCAGAAGAAAAGTAAGGGGTGCGAAAGATTGTTCATTTTAAACACAAAACTCTACTAAGTACAAAGTATTTGCCTCTTTTCTTCCACATTCTTAGTCTCAAAGATAATGTCAACTTCTATTAAAACAAATATACCGAAACTGAGTAGAACATCAGCTTCTAAAGATCTCTACTGAGTGAGATAAGTCTTCAAAAACTTCCAAGGAAAAAAGGTCGTGGACACCTCTAAGAATTTTTTTTTTACTTTCAGTATCACAGTATCACGTGACAATGAAAATAACAACTAGTTAGTGAAAAATAATTAGTTTTATAGAAGAACATGAAAAAAAAATTAGAAATTATAATATATTTAGTGATATCGTGAATTTATAGTGGATAAAAATTAGAAGCTTAACCCATTCCATTATAAAAAAAAAAAATCACTCACCCAATCCATAAAAATATGAACGGATTGGGCGGGTTACCAAACTATGAGCACATTTTACCGGGCACTAGACTTCTAATTCATGGGAAGGACTGCTTGGTGATAGACCACAACAAAATGTTTCAAGCAGTCAAGGAAGTTGTGATAATCAAAGCCAAAAGATATAAGGTGCATACAGACTCAACAAACTCAGAGGTAACATGTAGAGACTCAAAAAGCACAACCTACTGAGGTTCAAAGTGCCTCACTAAGAAAGTTATCCAGAGGAACACAACCTCCTATATGGATGAAGGATTTTGTCTCTCTGAATATACATCAAGATGCTCCTTAGATATGAGTAGTTGTTGGGCAAATGGATATCAAGTTTTACATGGGGGAAAAAACAGTCGATGATCATAGGTGGCCGTACAATCTATCGAGTAATATATTCGCTCATCCAATATATGATAATTACATGAAAATATGTTTGAATTTGAGCACAAAATCAAGAAAAATGGTTGAATGAAATGGAGAGTTGATTGTGTCTCAAATAACAACGGACCAGTGGAATTGATCATAATCGTTTAACAATAATTTTCAACCATGGAGTTGACAATGTGGATTCTGATTGCAATGTTTTTAAATTTTGTTGACCGGTGGAATTGATCATAATCTATTTTATTCTGCCGTTTGCTGTGGTACGTCGTAAACAGAAACATATATTAAATCCAACGGACAACTTGATGGCTAAAAGAAAACATCTGAACGTAACATATTTTGGAAGTCGTCGACAAAGATCAAGCACAAAAAGACGCACGTTAGTCTATATAGAAACAACTGGTTTCTTCTCCACACCCCTCTCACCATGCTGCTGCCATGGAACACCTAAGGCCCTTCAGACGCTCAAAAACTTCTTTCATTTCTGGCCGTTTATTTGGTTTTTCATCCATACACTGTCTTGTAAGTTCTGTAATTTTACGTCCATCCCGACGATCAAAGTCAGCATTATCCTGAAAACAAAGGTCGACATATGAATGCCTGGACTTGTACTCATTCACGGCCCAATTATGAATTGCCCTCCCTGTATATTTTTCCTTGTCAAGAGCTCTCTTGCTTGTAAGATTAAAGAGCAAAACACCGAATGCATATACATCAAACTTTACACTGTATGCAGCTGCAATGCATTTTATAAACATGGTCAGGCCAATCAAAAAAAAAAAAAAAATCTCCACTAGGATAAATAAAAAGAATAACGAACTTGCCAAAAAGCAACTAATGCAAAGAATGTCCCACATCAATCAGATGATTGTCTATCACCTACCTTTGACCCCAATCCCAATCATAGTACTGTTACAAAGGAAATGCAAACTTTCCATCTATGCTGTTTGCTTTCTAGTTGCAGTATGGGATATCTTGTTGCTTTGAAATCAGATATTAACTTGAATCTTTGTTTAATGCAGATTTTGGGGCTATCAAAAAACTTCTTCCAGGATCGAAAGCATGCATTAGTGTTGGACTTGTGTATGTCACAAAGGCGCATGCTAGATATGGGGAGGTCAAGGAGTCAAAACTAACTTTCTTTGTCTTCCCTATGCTTTACTAAGCACTGGGCTAAAGTTCTGGGGAGCTTGTTGTCATAATACTACCAATTATGAATTATTGAGTCCCGGAGAATTTCTTTCTGCTGCTAGGTTTACTGTAGTTTGTTCAGCTAGTGTTTCTGAACTATTTATTGACATTATTATGCTAACGCTCTGAAGCTAGGCTAGTCTGGATGCTCTCCTTCTGAACATTCTTTACTTTCTACTGCTGTCAACCTTCTGAAAAATAACATGCTCAAATGAGGTAACGGGGTGGATGGTTCATACACGGTCAAAGTCAGACACCAACTTTTAATAAGGGCAGATGCTTGCTCTTACTTCTTAGTTAGGTTGACCTTACTCCTTTGTATAACCCTGAACAATTCTTGGATTTGTCAGCTCTCTTGTATTATGATAAGTTTTATTTTTGCCCTTCCTAGAGATGACTATCCCTACTTCTGTAAATCTTGTGTCCTCTGGATACTTTGTTATTATTAATACATTTCTTAATTCTTACTTCATCAACGACAAAAAAAAATATTCAATGAAATAGAAGAAGATAACTCGATTCGTACCAGGACCATTGTAACTATAGAATGGATCAATGTAGCCACAAGGACCAATCCTCATATCTGATTCATCCACTGTAGTACCCAGAACCCCACCAACTAACATACCAAACTCAAATAGAACTGGGGTGAAATTCTGGAGAGAGGGAACACAAAAAAGCTTCAGTCACTTACGAATTCCTTAATAAAACATAACAGACTCGAAGGCCAGAAATAATGATGGGACGTGCAACAAGCAAACAACAAAATGTAATTATGATACTGCACCTGGTCAACAACTATGTGGGATGGAGCCAAGTTTCGAATCAGGTATGATTGATTCCTATCATGCAGATAGGCAAGCAAGCGAGCTAATGCAATGGCAGTCTTGACCCTCTGCAGCCAATTGAAGTCATCTGAAAAAGCAAAGCCAAAAAAGTGATTGGGATGCCTGTGTCTTTCCTACTGATTCTCGGATAAAGAGATACATCGCATGCCTCCTCACTGTTTCTATTGTGGTTATAGCTACTTGGCCGAGTAATGACTACAGATCCTTTTCTCAAAAGATTCACAATTGCCACTGGGTTTTAACACAAATATAGCTACGGCGCATGTAATTAACAGCAGAAAATACATCAGGTGAAGTCTGCATAAAAGATTAGTAAAGACAGATGTGAGAGTAAAAAGGGCACCTTGAAAAATCAAGTTATGCAAGGTGTCAAGTGGATTTAGATCATAAACAACACCCACAATCTCCTTGCGACAATATCCAACAACTTTCATTAAGCTGCGATTGCCCCTAATCTTTGGAGCTTGCAAAAATTTTAGTTCATCCTACACCAGCAAAAGCAATTTTTCTGAGTAATCATAAACTAAGAGAACACTTAATTAATGTAAGGAAGCGAGAGAAAAAGGGTGCATGACCACAAAATAGACACAAACCTCCAATCTTAACAGTTTGCTGTCATGTATTAGAATCGCCCTTTCATCATCAGCCAGAACTTTGACTTTAACAGAAGCGGGCATTTGCATACGAAATCTCCTTTCATCCTCAACCAGAATCTTGACGGTGACATCCTTATAAACTTTACCTTGATTAGAAACAATGGGCATTTTCCCACGGTAGAGCTTTCCTAAGTCAGTGACTCCAATAAGGTTCTCCGGAGAATATTGACCGGTAAAGTGACTCAGCTCCTCTGATGAGAATTCAAGAAGTTCATTCTCCACAGGGCATTCCTCATTTGACTTGAGGTCAAAAAGATCATCCTTAACGAGGCATTCCTCCTTAACGAGACAATCCTCTTGTCCGCACAGCAGTTTGAAGGGTCCTGTAAGGAAGTGAGAAAGGTCTCACAGTGTTAACATCAAAGAAAGAGCTAATTGCAATCCTTAGACAAAGCAGCTTTTCAGTTTTTAAAAAAGTTTCATCTATAGGACACCATCCTTGATTTAATTGCCATTTAGTTCTTATTGTTATAATTTTCAGAGTTGGTTAGATGATCAGATTTTAATCGCTCTTCCTAGTTAGCTATCAAAATTGAATGAAAACCTAATCCCATAACTGCATTTCTCTTCTCTTATAGCACAAAATGTCACATATTTTGCATCTCTGCAACCAGAAGCATCAAAAAACAAAAAGAACAGAAAAAATTGCAATTCCAAATACTCAAATATACTA